TGCCACATCATACTTACTAGCATATTTAATTATTTGTTGAGTGTAAAGAATGAAAAAGGGAGAAGAAAAATGGAAGACAAAAAAGCAACCCTCAAGCCCTTACTCCTATTAAAAACCTAAAAAAAAAAAAAAAAATCCCAAACACTTTAAAATTTAAGTAAGCTATGTGGCACAAAACATGCTTGCATTTGGCATGGGCAACTTAATGACTCAAAACAACTGAACAAAAACCCGGTCAATTGGCTGGCTGAATTTCAACAAAGCTGCCCCCCTCCTTTAAAATATAAAGGGAAAAGACCCAACCTACTGTAAATGTCGATTTATGAATGACTAAAACAAGTACCTATTCTCAAAAGCTGGACTATAGCTTAGTAATTGTTTCTCCTCCTTAGCTAATTTGCTTTTGTATTATTTGTATACTGTTTTGCATTGCTTAATTATTTAGCTCAGGAAGAACCCAAGGACCAAAAAAAAAAATCATGTTTATGTTTCACAACATTAGGAAAACTACAAAAACTGCATTTCCACACATTCGGATCATTATCTGAATTGTCATCTCTATACCATAGATTTAAGTTGTAAAAAGAAAAAAATACTAATATTTCATGCTTATAGTTTCATCTGACCTTTGTTCATCTCTTGAGATAAGAAGCAGTTGTTTTTTTTAAAAAAGGATGGTGCAAACCCAGAACAGATGATAAAGTGACAAATTAGCTATGAACAAGAAATGGACTGCACATCTCTCCTTAATGCAATGCAATATCCAAATACCTACAGAGACTTTTCTCAACTCCACTACACATTTGGATTAATAGTAGAATATAAAAGTAATACAGTTAAACCTGAAGGAACACATGATTTTCATTTTTCCACTCAAACAGGTACAGACCCGTTTAATAGTGTGGCCAGAAATGTTTCTTTAATCCCACTTCCACTCAAACAGGTACAGACTCGTTTAATAAAGTGTGGCCAGAAATGTTTCTTTAATCCCAAATTCATACAAATATTATTAAAATTAAATAAAACCAATCATCTGGAAACTTCATCAGCATCATTTAGTCCTTACGTACAGAAACCAAATACGAGTTAACGTCTCCCAAATACCTAACCAAATGCATAACTATTTAAAAGGTTTTACTACACAGTGAAACAGTAAGTCTAGTGACATCTTTTATTTTAGAACAAGCACTCAGTAAGTCACTGTTTCCCACTTTTGATACTGAAGTATTTCACACGATCAACCATTATGGTTCAATTAGGACCTTTTATCCAAAACACTTGGATTTTAGCACCTTAAATAAAGAGTCAAAGTAACATCTTAGTAGTACTGAATGAGGACAGTTAATACTGTGCTCATCCTCTGGAAAATGATGTGGACCATACATACTAGGTGCATTTAGTCCTTAACAGATAGTAAGGCAGAAGGGAAACAATTCTAAGCAATGCATTTGACTGAATACAATCTGAAGAATAATAAAGCCTCCCCAATTATAGAAAGTCTTTCGAGGAGAAATCATATTTGCTCCTATACATCAAACTTCATAGTATTTAAATCAAATGTCCATTTACAATCAACCATGTCAGTCAGGAATCTGTACCCCAAAAAATATAATCTGGTTATTAAACATCAGTAAGTGATACGTCTAACTCAAAGTTTAACTCTGCACTCTAACTAGTGCTTTTTCAAATATTTAAACAAACCCTTAAACCAGGAAAACAAATTTATTTCAGAGTTAAAGATACTTCTTCTAGCTCACTGTCTAGATAATGGGGCATACATAACATTTGCTTCCACAGGCACAGATCTTTGGCAGCAAGAGCAATCTGAATGGCATGAATCTGGCTTTTCCTTTCACCCCCACACTGCTCATGTGCGTACTGTAATTCCACTAACATCCCAGCATCACTTCTGATGGGTACAGAATCTACCTTCTGCACTGATTTGGAGCGCGTTAGCCAAGTATCTGCCTTAGCTTTCACCATGCTTCTAAGCGCTTCTGTGGATTTCTGGGGCCATACAGAATGGGTTTTCTTTACTTTAAAGAAACAAGCAGTCTAACCAGACACGTCCTAAATGCCATAATTTCATGCGTCTTTGGCCACTGTAACATTATTCTTTACAATTTTAGCCGGTTTTGCCAACTGAGTCTAGCAAATTGGCTTCCAAGAGAATCTTTCAGCACTGTACCCTGCTATTTAACAGCAGCTATGAATCAATGACTAACGTGCATACCCAAGATGGACACAGCTACTACAGATGAACAGCAATATGTTCCGAGACTGTATTTCTTCTTTTCCTCTTCAACTAAGTTTGTGAGGTTAGACACACAGATTTGTATGTTAATTTTAAAACAACAACAAAAGCATAAAAAATTACAAACTAAAGTAGTCAATTGTTGGTATTAAACATTACCTTTCCTGTAACTAAACAAATGGCCAATATTAATAAGTAAACCGGTGTATTTCAACATAGAAGTCTTTTAACCTCAGTAATCTCTGCTTCCCTCCTTCTCCCCACAGTAAAGCCAGGAATTGTATGAAAAATTAGTTTCCCTTCAAGGAATAGCAGAGCAGCATTCAGTCTGGTCACCGCATCCGTCATAGATCCTCTCTCTGGTTGGTTGCTCGGTTGTCCTCTTTGATGCTATTAGATTTCTTGTCTGCATCTTTTTTCTTCTTTGCTTTTTCAGGTTTTGTTTTGTTTTTCACTTTCTCACTTTCTTCTGCTCCTTTGCCAGGATAAACTTGACCTTCCAGAGTAACATCTGCACACCTTTCTTGATTTACCAGAAAGTCTTTGATCTCCCAGGCATAACCGCCATCACGTAGCATGAAGATGGCACGATTTGAGCCAACAATAAACCTAGAGGAAAGATACGTATTTTTTCAGTTAGCTCTATGCCTTTCACGTGCTACAACATTTTGCTTAACTCAGAGCACCTCCACAACCGAGGGATACATTTAAGAGCACGAAGTTGGTCATCTTGTTGTTGTTACCTGGGGATGGGGACAAGAGAACAATTTTCTAGCACAAGTAGCAATGAAATGTATTAAGTTTATAAAGAACCAAGGAGGAGCAAGATATAAAGAAAACTCAAGAACTAATTCGGCACTATGTAAAATCCACTAACGGGCATTAAGTTTGCTTTATACACTTGCTGCAACCCTTCTCAGCCTCAATTCAAAAGCACAACACTCTTCTGTTTCAAAATGATCCTCCCTCTCTGAGAGAAAAATGACATTTTTTAGCCAGGGGAACAAAAAGCCTTTTGTGTGACAAGTCTTCCAAGTGTGATGTTTTCCATCAAGCACATAAAGGCAAACTACTGCAGCTAAAACTGATAAATAGGCTGAGACGTAATGAGATAAAAAGAAACTAGTCTACACATACATCATGCATAAGCATTAAAAAGGTTTTTGCCCCACACCAGAATTTTTATAACGTGACTTAAAACAAATTGGTATATAAACTGACAGAAACAAAGGAATAGTGATGGACAGTGCAGGTGGGGAAGGGTACAGGATGAACAGCTGAAAAGATTTTCAGGAAGAAAGAAACAAAGGTTCTGTAAAAGCAAGAATTTTATCCTTGCATACAGCAGCTTACCTTTGTACATCATAGTTTGCATTGAAGAGACTGCCCTGCCACAGGCTAGTGATTTCTTCCGTCTCCTTTTCTGTGGGACTTCCCGACACCGTGACAAACATCATCAAAGTCTTCCCCTTTTTCGTCAGCTTCAGGATACTTTCAGGCTTGCCTGGATCAATTTTTGAGAAATCTATTGGTGCTGGAGGCCTCTTGTGTTCGGGAAGATCTCCCTCTTCAATGTCATCATCCTTCTGTTTTGAAAAGGAAAAGGAGGCTTTGAACTCAACTGTTCCACAAAGCTGCTCTTTTTTGAAACTTCCCATTGATTAGAGGATAACACTGCTTGGATAAAGCAAAAGCACTATGTAGTTTAATGACAGAGATTCTAAAATCAAAAGAAATAGTGAGTTTTGTCTCAAGATACTTCACCAAGAGTGACCTTCCCATTTACAACCCTCCCCTCAAAATCATGCACGTGTTGATACCAACAGGTAGAATCTCATTTTACCACGTACTGAGAAATATTTCACTCAGAAAGTTAATTCAATACAACTCCATCTAAGTACTTCATAAAATAACACTTTTTTCTTCACAGTTTCACAGAAATTTATTAAGTATACAAGATGGACTGAGAAAGTTGCCCTAAAATTTGTGTGCCCATAGGCACACAAATTAAAACGTTGTCCATCTGCATACTGCTTTCAGAGGTGAAAACTCACTTCTGGGAATCATGAGTAAATCATCACTTGAGAATTTAATTTTCCTTACTTTGTGTCTTTAAATAAATAGAAAGGCAAGAATTCAGAATTTCAATGTTCATACTACAGGAAAACTTTTACTAAGGGTTTCATGACTTTTCTAATGCACAGATGAAGAGCAGCTCACAGTCTGACAACATAATCACCAAGAGTAAATCGCTGTTAGAAAACAGAAAAAAAAGAAAACCACCCAAGCTCTCGATGCCTCTGCTGAGGTTGACAGGCATTTAAATATTTGGAAAGGCAGAATTCAAACTGCTGCCCCTTAAAATAGCTCCCGACAGAGAGGAGTGAATATAGTGACAACTTAGATTGAGCCAGAACTTGATTTCTTCAATAGTATTTGTACCACAGAATTAAAAAGAAAAAAAAACAAAACAAAACAAAACTGAAAAACACAGAAGTCTTATACTGGCATACACCCAAACACTAGTAA